ACGGGGTACCCAACTCTTATGCGCAACTCCTCTTATGCCGTGTACTGAACAGAAGCAGGCAAGTAGCAACCGGGGGGGGGGGGGGGGGGGGGGCTAAAACACAACATAACTTTTTGTTTACCCCAACATTACCTTTACTATAGAAAATGTCCATTGAAAAGATGGTTGCCCCCCCCCCCCCCCTGTCACTTTTTACCACAGTGTATTTATAGCAAGGAAATACAGGAAAAAATGGAAGTGAAAGGAAGTTGGCCTTGAAAAAACGTTGGCTACCCCCCCCCCCCCCATTAATAATAGTTGAAAATCGCCGTTAATCTCCAGATTTGTCTTGCGATTTTTCTACAGCGTGTGGAATATTTTGCTGCTAGAATAGTGTGCCTGCGATGCCTGTGCGACAAAGTACGAGGTTTGTACGATTTAAGTACGAACTAAGGCGACAGCGTTACGAACTGGATACGATATTTCTAAGATTATAAAGGATTAAACGCGGTTACATACGATGCTCGTACGAAGTACTACATGTACGATATGCCACGTTACATACACGTCCGTCCGTCTGTTACGCTTTTTCTCTTATCCGCAACTCCTCTCATACCACTGAATGAAATTTGATGAAACTTTCACAGAATCTTTATTACATATTGCCATTGCGCACCTCCTATTTTACTTTTTGATCTGACACATATTTTGGGTTTCACGGCCACAGCAAATCATCGCTCATCGCTCAAGGCACCTCTAGTTTCTTAGGAAAACACTGCATTTTTAGTGAGTTGTGTAGGGAAAACAGTTTGAGATATTTTTAAAAAATAAATTGATTTCGAACAGAGGTATCCAAGACACACAATTTTAAAAAATATTATCACCAGATTTTGGGACTAGGCGGATTTTGGTGCCTAACGCAGGGACGTAGCAACAGGAGGGGGGGCACAACATTACCTTTACATATACATGTATAGTAAATGTTCATTGAAAGGATGGTTGCCTCCCCCCCCCCCCCCTCGCTAGTGAGCCAGCTTTTCAGCAACGGCGACTTTTTACCATAGTATAGTGATATCAACGAATTGTATGGAAAGAAATTGAAAGTGAAAGTAACTTGGCTTTGAAAAAGTTGGCCACTACCCCCCCCCTCCCCCCACGAAATAGGATTTTCGAGTTTTGGCAACTTGTAACTTTATCTTTTGGGGGGGGGGTTAAAAAAATTCTCTGGTTGGCCCTCACTTTCAAAAACGATGATACGTGCCTGCGGCAAGCTTCATGAGCTTTTAAGAAAGAAATGTTCATCGAAGCTAGGCGGGTTCTCCATCCACTTTTTGGTGCAGTGTATATATAGTCAAAGAAGGGTGGGCGGTTGGGCGGTAGCGCATGAAAAAAATTGTACTGAAAGAAGTTCGCCGACCCCCCCCCCCATCCCTACACAAAAATAGGATTTTCGGGTTTGGACAATTTTACTTTCCTTTTTTGAATGTCAGGGGATTTCTTTTGCAGGATTGATCCCCCCTTTTTTTCAAAATCGATGCTACGTCCTTGAGTTAAATTAAGTCAATTGCACATGTAAACAACGTATTTCATATGCTATATGGGGTATATAAAATGTACATCTTAGGCATTTTTTGCCATAAGTCTGTTTAATATCATATAACCGTTGCTATAAATGCCAAGACTCTGATAGCAACCGTAAACTAAGAAACTCGTGTTTCGTCCAAATATATCTGTAAAAAATCACTTTTTGAATATTTTTAATCATTTCTAAGTATTATATAATTTATCGATAGACGCATCGTCACATTCCAAAATGAACACAATCAGACTAATGGATTATTTGAAGCATGGAATCTGGGAAAATACATGTATATTGACTTGAGATTCGGTACAGGCTTCGAAAACTTTGCTATTTCTAAATTATTAGAAGACTCTCTTTTAAAATGCACATTGCAACATTTATAGAAATTCCTTACTTGTCCCGTGCACATGCACTTTTTCAGAGACTTATAATGAATTGAATACATATGGGGGTCACTGTAGGGAATCAAAAGTTTTACGTTGAAATATATAGGAAAAATCTTTTATTCTTTTTCTCAAGAACCACTGGGCCAGGAAAGCAGAAACTTATGTGGAAGCATCCTGGGGTAGTGTAAATTCTAAATTGTTCAAATAACCCCTGGGGATAGAGCAAGGTCACAATAGGGAATCCAATTTTTACATAGAAATACATCTATGGTAAAAATCTTTAAAAATCTTCTCAAGAACCAATTGGCCAGAAAAGCTGATACTTGTGCGGAAGCATCCTGCGGTAGTGTAAATTCTAAATTGTTCAAATCATGACCCCTATAGGAGTAGGGCAATAAGGAATCCAAATTTTACATTGAAAATTATATTTAGGAAAAATCTTCTCAAGAAATACTGTGCCAGAAAAATTCTACAGTGTACCTTATTTGAAAGCATCCTGGGGTAATGCATATTTTAAATTGTTCAAATCATGACCCCCGGGGGTGTAGCGGGGGTCAATTTAAGGAACCCAAGTTTTGCATTGAAATATAAAGTGTAGATTCTAAATTGTTCAAATCATTGCAACGGGGGAAATTAAGGGCGGGTCACTATGGGGTACTAGTATTCAAGTTTTACATTGGAATATAGCTATTTAAAAAAATCTTCTTCTCAAGTACCAATTGGCCAGAAAAGCTGATCTTATATGGAAGCATCCTGGGATAGTGTAGATTCTAAATTGTTGAAATATTACAACAGGGGTAAGGTGGAGGCAGGGCACTATTATAAAGTCACGGTGGGGAATCTCGTAGAGAACAAATCACTAAGGTGAGCGATGTGGCCCATTGGCCTCTTGTTACAGTCTTAAAATGCTTTAAATGTATACATTTTCATTTCGATGCTCCCCTACCACCTAAGGTCAATTGGCAAATTTCAGGTTTAGGAAATAATGTACCATATTGTAGGAGAAAGATCCGGCTTTTTGTGTAGGGGGAGGGGAGGGCAGCGTTTTTAGGAGGTTAACCCCACCCCATAAAACATTTGCTGCGGAACTGCTCTCGCTCCTAAAATGTCATTCATTCTCTATACTAACTTGGTCCAACGCACTTTTGAGGAACTTCACTTTATACCTAACAAATAATTTTCTCTGATTCATAAAAGATTTTCAGAGAAAATAATACCAAATTAAATACACCTATTAAATAACACAATAAAAAAAATGTTGAGATAGATTTAATATAATTGAGATTTAAGGTAGTTCTATACTCGGCGCTAAATGGGCTCAATCTTAAAAAATCTGCTTTTATAAGTTAGATATACATCCAAGCAATTGATAGACACAAGAAAAATTATATGTCAACATGTTCACTTTTCCGCTATTGCCTATTGGAGTACATGCCCCGAAATGTAAAATATTGAAATTTACCTATCCTACATTTTGTTGTATTTAAATGAATTAAAGTCTAAATATTCAACTTTAATACACAAAATGGAGTGAAAACATGTTAGTAAACCATTTATAATCATTGTTTTGCATGAATTATTATAATTATTTGCACTTTGCTAGGCTAACGTATCAAAATGAAATATGAGAAAATGTGCTTCACAGGTCAAATTCGGTCATTTTAGAAAAAATTATGGACTCAAACTTCAAAAATTTGCAATCTTTTTACTAAATAACATTTAAGAAAAAGAATAAGCTATAAAAAATTATATGTTGACGCATTACTTCTCCTGGTATGAGCTCTACACTAAAGGGACCCCCATAATTTCATTCATCCAAAAGTAATATATTACCACATTTTCCTGTAGTTCTGTTAAAGTTTGAGCGAAAACTTGTATTAACAAGGTTGAACACATTTAAAACAATGATAATACACACCCAATACCTATTGTCCCAAAAATTTGTCTTATAATACTCTAAAACATTTAAACACCACTTGTCCGTAAATTGGAGAGAATGAAAATGGGCGTGATTGACTGATTCTCACAAACTGGATGCTTTTGTTACAGAAAGTAAGTATGCTGCGAGTGAATAAACTTTTTTCATATAATAATTATTTTTCTAGCTTAAAGATAATTTTACATTGTGATTGTTGGGTAAGCCGGTTTAAGGGGGGGGGGGGTATGCGTCTTATGAAATAATTATTATTCAAGGTGAATTTATAACTTGTGATGGATAAAAATAATTAAATTTGTCTAAGTCAAATCGTATTAATTACTTTTCTTGCGAATTATCACTATTAGCTTTAACTTGGCCACCGACAATAGTCGCCCCGACTTTCATGCACTGATGTAGCATATTCGTAGTCCGTGTTATCGGCACGGCATATTTCACGTGTATCATTCACAGAAATGTTGTTTTATTACCTAATTTTTTCTCTTTCAACCGAAAGTTGTTCCAAGTCTTCTCTTTTTAATTAATTCATCCTTAAACTGTAGAATCACTCAATGTTTATTTGTACGTTTGTTGACACGAGCGACTTCGAGCAAAATCGTAACCGGATATTTAAAACGCTGAGTAAAAGTCAAATCAATATAGTTCAAAAATCACATCTGGAAACTTTTTGATTCATGTACTTTTGAAACTTTATTGAAAACATTGAAACTTTGATTCACTACCATGGTAAAAAGTACTAAAAACATTTAAACTTTTATATAAGTACATGTGTATTATAGAAAGTGAAAATTTTTAATAGTTTGACTTTCTACGGTCAACTACGAGCATTGATTGTAAACTTTAGTTACATCTACTGTTTACTCTACCTGTAGTTCTTTACTGTTTGTGAATGGGCGGCCACTATTTTTTTTTAAATAGGTATACTAACAGTTGATTAAGCCAATATCGCTTGTGTAAATTTAAAATATCACATAGGCTTTTTGCATGGTTATGATAACAAATTATGATATGAGGGACTCTGAACCCCTTGGTGTCATGAGATAAAGCATATGATATTGTGAGTGATAATGGGGTGCTGTCATGAATAATAAAAAAAATGCACACCAGCTGGGGTATTACAAATAAAATAAACGAATTGCTTTCAAGATTCACTCACTTATTAACAACAAAGGATATGATTGGAGCGATCCTTTTTACTAAGGTCAGTCAAATCTATTTTAATTTTTTTAAAATTTATATTACTTTTTCTTGGTACACATAACTTAACTCACCAGTAATGATATACAATCCTCTTTTAAAAATTAAACGCCACGCTTATAAATCATCAAAAACCAACCGAATGAAGGACATGTAAAGATATAGTATAATTTTTGAAATATATGTACATCTATGGCATGTCAAACGTTGCTTTATTCGATAATCTTGTAATGTACAGTGTATTCAAAATCTTGTGATGTATGTTTATTCAAATCTTGTAATGTTTATTCAAAGTCTTGTGATGTACATGTAAATCTTGTGATTGCATGCCAAACGCGTCAATGAATTTCCCCGCGGAATACTTGAAATTAGTTGTAGTTCAAATCAAATCCATTACTGTAACAATGTGAACAGTTCTTTTTTAATGCATGAGTTAAAAACTTCATGATACTGGAATCCATACAAGTTTCTCTATCTGCCTCCCTCTCTCTCGTGCGCGTGGACGTGTACATAGGGGCTTGTCTTCCGGATTGATAAATGTAAAATATTTTTTTTGTAATTTGTATCTACATTGAATACACTCTAAAAGTTGCTTTAATAAAGATTCTGACATGATCAGGCAAGAAAAATAATGTTTTAAAAAAAGTACTACACCTATATAAGCTGTATATAAGTTTATGTATATAGGTGAAGTACTTTTTAAAAAAAAATAATAATTTTTTATATATAGATATAGACAGAAATTCATTTAATCATGTCATAAACTGAAAACTTTTTATCATGGCTTCATACAATATAAATTAATGAATACTGCAGTATATTTTTCTTACCTCAATAATAAAATCTCATTTGCACTAAACGTTCTTTACTTCTTTTTTTAAAAGAAAATTTGCCAGTTTCATCACCAAACTGTATGTGCGGGAGTATAAGGACAGAAGTCACAGTAACCAATGGCGACAAGATTTTAAATGCATGAAGACCTATCCATTTTTAAAATATGGAAATTGGCGGAGTCACGAACATACAAAGACTCCAAAAATGCATCAAATGTGAAAATGGTGTTCAACATTTTTGTCAAGGATGTCAGAAAAGTCTTTGTAGAGACTGCATAAATGACCATTTAACTGAAGAACTAAACATTCAGCATTCGATCATTTTGTATAGGAACAGAGTTTCAATTTTTTCGTTTCCATCCTGCAGTTTGCATCCAAATTACAAGCTAGACACATTTTGTTACCAATGTTGCACCCCAGTATGTTTGATCTGTTGGGAATGTTCTCACGACAACCACACCTTTGGGCACATGAAAGAATTTGTTGTAAAGAAGAAAAAAAAGTTATTACAAGAAATGAAAATCATAGAAAACTGTGTTAAAGAGTACGAAAACGAGAACGCCACAATAGAAAAAACTTACCAAGAAAAAACAGAAAATTTTCGTGCTCTTAGGAAAAGCGCAGAAGTAAATGAAAAAGATCTTATTGAGGAAATACAAGATCTTTTTTTAAGATACAGAAAGAGTATAAATGATCAGGAAAAAGAGATCAGACTTCAAAGGGAGAAGAGAGAGAAGTTTTTATCAGATGCTGTATCTGCTGTCAAAATACTTAATTCAATTATTCAATCAGATGATCAGTCTATTCTAACAAAGATAGTGCAGTGCAAAATAACTCCCAAAATATATCAACAAGTACTAAAATGTACAAGAGAGACTATTTCTAGATGTGCTGCACCTGTCGTTATTTTTGGAGACTCTCTTCAGCTAGTGCAGGAGTTAAATGACGCTAGGTATAGTCAATTGTCCTTACAATCTATGAACAATGCAGAAGCCATTGATTCCGAGGAATCGTACTTAATGGATAAGGCGATAGTTATAGGATTTATACACACTGGCAAAGAAAATTTATTTCGTTTTGTGCGGAGGGATTCCTATATTTATATATGCCATTATTTTACTCTTGAAATTTATAGCTTACCATTAAATCAGACTTCTTCTGCAAGTGTATGTGAGAAAGTTTCGTGCTCGTGTCAACCAGAAAGTCTAGTAATTGACAAAGACAAAATATTGTACAGTAGCGCAATGGAAGGTTCGACAATCAATATGATAGCGAACGATGGGACCTCAATAGAAATTGTTCGGTTTCCTGGTTGGATTTTCCATGGTATTTGTCAAACTTGTGATAAGAAGCTTCTAGTATGTATGGCAAATCCTGAAATGGAAGAATCAAAAATCATTCGCTATAATATCACTGATTCTAGAACAGAACAAGAAATACAATACGCAGACGACAATCAACCCTTATTTCAGTTTGGAGATCTCTTTCTCTTTGTAGCTGAAAATAAAAATGGAGATGTATGTGTATCGGATCCAAATGCCTATGCCATTGTTGTCGTTAACCAAAACGGCAACTTTCGATTTAGGTATGCAGAAAGAAATCTGGAGTTATTCGGTAAAACACATTTTAGACCAGACCAAATCGTTACGGATTCTCTGTGTAACATTATAGTAACCGATTATTTTAATAACCGAATACATATTATCAGTCAAGATGGGATGTATCTTAAATGTATTGACAATTGTGAACTTGATATGCCTATATCTTTAGATTTGGATGAGAATGGTAATCTGTTGGTTGGGATGTTTTTCTCGGGTGTGATTAAAGTAATCAAATACATCAAATAAAATAATGTACCTACCTTCATATGAAAACATTCCGGTTAATATAACTTTCTTGTTGAGAAAGACAGAGGTGTAGAGGGAGAATGTGTGATACAGCCTAATTCTGTTTTATTAAGCACGTCTTAATTAGTGCCTTTTCTTATTTCTTTTCAATAAACTTTTATCATGATAAAATTGGTATTAAAATAAAATCACTAGATGTTATATGTAAGCTTACTGGACACATGATTTACATGACATGTATGTTGTTTTAAAAATATTTATCAACAAATACTGTAAACGTATTACATTTGGCTGTGTATTCTTTTTAGCGTTTTTGACGGAAAGCAATATCCGCTAATTCAAGTACAACGCTAAATGTCTGGCACATTTAAACAATGAAATGCTTTCTTTGTTTGTTATTACTGGAATTAACGGAAGCAGCTGTTGCAGAAAAAATACATAACCCGCGTAACTATGTAAATTTTTCAGCAATAGCTGGACCGTTAATTCCAGTAATAACAAACAAAGAAAGACATTTTATTGTTTATATTTATATCTGTTTAAATACTAGTAATCATTTAAAGTAGGATTAAAAAGATTAATCATTGTATTAATGATACTTTTCATTGATGGAATAGCCACTGATCAAGAAATCTGTACAGGCGACATGCCTAATGTAGTTCATGCAGTGATTAATACAATGGGTTTTCTGAAGAAATAAAGGAGAAAATATTCAGTGGATGTAGACATGGTAAATATATACCTATAAAGAAGAACATTAAGATATGCGCTAAATCAAATCCACGCGAACTTGTTCAAAATCCAATTTCCGCCAAATATCGTACACACTAAATATAAATAATACATTTACAGTAACTATCGTACTTTTACTGTATATATTCCAACTACTAAGAATTGTAAATGCCCTTTGCTTGCAAAGGCATACAAAGATTGTTTCCATTTTTTGAACGTTAACTTTGCCGATCAATATTTGGGAAATTGGACATTTTGAAAAGCCTTTAAATTCCTTAGTCTATATTCTTGTTCCACGATATAGTGTTCAAAAAAGAAAAAAAAAGTTGTTTTATTTTTTTTGCTTTCCGTGGGTATTGGATCCTCTAGCTGAAATTGACATGTTCTAAAAATATCACATAACTGTATATAAATAGAGAGAAGGCACTCGCCATCTTAGATTTCTAGGGGTGCCTCGGCTCACGCCTGATTTTAATCAATATCTACACTTTTCCTGTCAGTGTCCGGTGAAATCTAGTTTCAAAAATGATTAAATAACGCCCTTCCTTTGCCAATATGAACTTGATGAATAGAAGATGCAGTAACTAACGATGGAAAAATGTAGAGGCGTCCCGCAATTACATAGAAAATCTAGAGAGAAGTTTGGCGTGGTTTCAGGCCTCTCTAGATTTTCCTTTGGTCATCAACTTATATGTCAATAGCCTGGATCGTTTCAGAAATTATTCGTACATATAGAGCACATACTTGTATCGAATAAACTGACTAGCTGACTGAAAGACCATAAACAGGAGAAAACGGTATAATAATTGCTTTATAAATAAGAGATTTGGCGATAGGAAAGTTGAAGACATCACTCTAATCATAAAGTTTTGTTGTTAGACTGCAATATTTCCAATGTTATTTTTTTTCTCTGTGATAACTCTTTGAAAGTTAGCAGAGTTGATTTCTTGATAATTCTACCGGAATGTAAATTAGGCAGGTCGATGGGTCAGGAGCTAAGGAGGCCTAATACGCATGCAAATCTCGTGCGCATCTGTCTCTGTGTCTGACGCTTAGGAGGCCAGTTATGCATGTAAATCTCGTGCAGCTGCATTTGTGTTTGACGTCAGTATGCGAGGACTATTGTAACTGACATGGGAGTCCTCGTGTAATTTAAATCTATGTATACATTTTTAAAGTCTAAATCTACAATTTTATTTCACAATGAAATGGAAATATAAGGAATCACTGTCGAGTTAGTATAGTATGCCAGGGCATCAACCATAGTGGGAAACATGGGATAATTTGCATATAACGGGCTTCGCCCGTTATGCAAATTATCCCATGTCTCCCACTATGGTTGATGCCCTGGCATACTATACTAACTAGACAGTGATTCCTTAAATTAGTCTTCCCCTAGTAAAATGTCCTTAAGGATCTAAAAAATTTAAACACATATTATGTTTTCATATTTATTGTTCGTCCTGTTTTGGAAAAAAAAAATGCAGGAGAATTAGAGGTTGATACCCAATTTTTTTCTTCAATCACGTCTTTTATAGTTTGTTCACTCTGTCATTATTTATATAATTTGGTCATTATTCGTCTTTAAACTCCTGAAAATAAAAGTACATACATCTACATAGATCGAATTTCAATCACAAGCATATGCGAAATTAATTAAGCTACATGAATTAAGTCTGCTTAATCATGTGGGTGATGTGTCTAGTGTGTTGGTGTTTGTGTCTGTGTGCTTGTTACATGTACCTCTCGCTTTCATTCCTCACCGCTGGCTTGCAGCAATGCGATAAGGGAAGCAGTTTGTAAGTCTTCCATGACAGTACATAGCCTTTCCACAACAAGTCCTATGCGATGCCTCCACGTGGAAACAGACGAATACTGGGCGCCTTTCGACCCAAGACTTACTTTCCAAGGGTCCACGGTAATATGGGACTCGCAAGCCTTGCTCTGCAACTCATCTAGGAGAAAAAAAAACAATTTAAGTAAAATATAGATCTAGATATACAGGCTAATTCGAATTCCTCTATTTCTTCTAATTTTTAAGGGAATTTTAGTTTGTTTTTTATACTTCGTAACTATGTTTATTTTCCGTTATCTTCATAAATAACAAAGAAGTCATTCGGGCGTTATAGAATTTGATCACGTGACCGACTTCATGTCATACCCCAATGAAACTCTAAAAATGATATTTTATTTCTTAAACACAAAATATAAAACATAACGCTACAGATCTGCAGCTAGACTATGCTAATATGAAACATGTTAAGTTATGAAAATGTAAATCTGTACCCTGGTAAATTCAAAAATCAATAATAATTAAAGGATAAAAGTAGAAAAGTGTTGAAGTAACCACTGTACCCATTGTAAACTTTAATTTTTCAATGGTTTTGTACTGTACCCTAATTGTAGTAAAGGATAAATAGCTGAGGTGTACTCTGGAGTACAAAAGTATCACCTAAAATTACAGTACCAATTTCTTGCCATATATGATGTAACTGCTAAAAACTACCCTGTAAATATAAAAATCTGCGGTGTGCAGTGTTTTGAGCTTCCTTAATAATAAATAGTTCATTAGAGCTGATAGAGAGCGCATGTTATTTTACAAACATAGAATGCATGTAAATGTTATGAATCTCCTTTTGTCATTGTTTGTAGACCACATGAACAATTTCAACATGATGCCTCCAACCTGTGTGGGTTATATTTCTTCCCATATGAAGAAAATATTTATTTTTGGAGGTTTTACAATACGATTACAATACATTGCTTGAAAAAAAAAAAATTAATGGAAGTTGCCTCCCTTCTAACAGTATTTTGTATACTGGTCCCCGCTCAAGGAAATACCAGTCAAAATCAAAGTCTAAACAACTTCCTTCATCGATCCCAATGGTGAATAATTTTACTTTCAGATCTGCATTTTACACTTTTGTTTAAGGTATGCAATGTTATCGCATGAAAGCCTGTAAGAACTAAAAAGAGTTTTTAATTAGCATTTAATTGAAAACATTCTTATTTTGTGAGCAAAAGGGCGTATATTTATAGTACCTGTAAGCCTATTAGCTAGAATTTCCTCCGTGCCTATAGTCATAGTCATAGTTTACCACTTTTAAACGTTTTCCCCCTAATATTCATAAAGCATGTTGACATTCTTAACTCTTTGGATTATTCATAGTATATTCACAGAGTGAAAGTTATAATTGCCTTTGTCAATTTTTTTTGGTATTATTACAAAGACATTCTATAATTTTAAAACATGGACATGGTTAAACTGAGTTCTGTAGCATTTCAACTGTGGCGGTCAGCCGGGTTCGATCGCCGTAGGCCAGATAGCTCAGTTGGTAGAGCACCTGACTGGAGTTTCAGGGGGCCGGCGGGTTCGAATCCCGGTCTGGTCCGCTGCATTTTCTCCTCTCCCGTTACACAACAATACACTGTACCGTAAGGGATCCTGGGTGTGAAATGTGAGATATTATACAAATATGGACTCAATGTAGGTCAATATGCATTTATAATGACCCAGGATGACAGATATTGACCGAAGATACATGGAGTATATCGACCGAGGGCGCTAGCCCGAGGTCGATATACTCCATGTATCTGAGGTCAATATCTGCCATCCTGGGTCATTATAAATGCATATTGACCGTGCATTGAGTCCATATTTATTATATTATATAAATAATAATTTCCCAAATGTATTGGTACTATGTATATCTTCCTATTGTTCACAGAGATGGTGTTTACCATAAATAAGTTGAATATAAACGTTTCAGAATTTTTTGAATGTTACTCACAGGAACTTGTTTCGGTAATAAATTTTAACCTATAACTAAGCATAATAATAACACAAGGTATCTATCTCCGAATAACACAGAGTACCCCCTCCCCAGACTTAGAATCGCACTCATTTACACTTGCAAAGGAAAATGCACTGACAAAATATTAACATCTATAGATGTCGTCTACGCTAATTTATCTAAACAATCGTACATGGGATGCTTGTCTTTATTTACTTTAGTCTCCGAGTCCGTAATCGCGTAAACAGCGTCAAAAATCTGCTCGCCGAGTGTAAAAGTCGAATTCAACAATGAAATGGTATATGTAGTAAGTATTCCCGAAAAATGCTAAAAGATATCCTTGATAATTGTTTTGTATTCTCACCTTCAGAGTTCTTCACTGTACCTTTTAAATTTTCCTCGCCTACAACTTGCAAACTGCTTGACTAAAGCGAAAGTGAAAACGAGGCAGCTCGTGCGAGTCATTATTCGCGTTCAGCGGTCGTTATTAAAATATAATTACTTCGTATTGACCAATCAGATTATCGGATTTCACAAAGTTATATAATATAACCTTATAGCGTTAATTAATAATATAAGATGTAAATAACTTCGTAGGTGGAA